ATAACCGATTTGGTATAAATTTTTTGTTACGTTTCACTTCAATGTATATTATTTTTAGATACTTTGAAAATATAACTTCATATTCTATATTTAGTTAAATATGTTTGCTTGGATTATTCGACATATAATATTGATCCATTTTTATTTAGATGATATGATTTTGCCGTTAAATGAATTATAATCATAAACAAAGATCGCCATGTATTTTTATAAATTGGCATTTATTGTTGTACAGTGAAATTTACAAATTGGTTTCTCTAGGCTATAACATGTATTTAAATTTCACTGTTGTCTTACGTGCGTCAATACTACCTTTACGCAAGTATCACAACGTGTTAAAGATCATATCGTCCGCGAACAGTTACTTTGAAAAATTACATGTAATGATGTATGTACTTAAAAACTATCGTAGTCGGCAATACGATTTTACGCGACATCGATTCTGTGCACGCTACATGGTACTTAATTACAGCTTTACGTTCTTAATCGTTATTGATACATATGTATAGTTTTATGTGTCGAGGAGTCGTACGTGATCGACTAGATGAATCTTATTTCTTTAGACAGTCTCTCGATATTTAATGATTTTAAAAATCGTTTACTCAAGATATTCTGGGTGGAAAAGATTTTGAAATTTCTTGCAGGATAAGATCAATTGTTAAAAAAATCAATTGTAAAAAAAAAAATCAATTCTCGTTATGTACCAATAAATTTCAGACTTAAAATCTTACAATTTTAAGAATTAGGATATAAATGTGATAGAAACGTTCTTAGCATGTAAAAATCTATTAATGATCGTGTCTATTCCCCTCCTTTCATATTACCTGTGCTTGAGTTTGGTTACGCCGGATATTATTGTAAGTATCGAATTTCATTATATCCTGAAAAGCGTACCTCATTTTCGTGCAGTTTAGTTGCGCGCAATGATGAAGATGACTTTCAAAACTTAATATCTGTAGAATTCAGCAATGCAACGTTGGGGTCATGAATATTAATATGAGATTAAGAACTCTCTACAAAGATGAAATCTCTGTCAACACGAACGCGATCACGTCTTTTAGGATATTTGGTCGTTGAAGAAAGAGAGAGCAAGAGAAAGAAAAAGAGAGTTCTATATAAGTCTTCGACAGTTTTAATTCTACTTTAAGAGAAATTATTTTTTTTTTCTTTTATCATTATATGTTTTGAGCAGATGTTTGATCTTGGCGATGATCTCAATGTAGAAAGGCCGCGTACGAAGGAATTATTAATACTTATTGTTTTATAAACTTTGCTCGAACAGAATCAATGAGTTTATCTACTAACAAACTCAAATCAACAAATCATAAATTTTTATATAATATTTTTACTTTATAAAATTAACACATATAATTTCAATAAAAAAAATTAAGTGATATATTGCTACTTATGAAGGTAAAAAGATTCTGACTTTTATAGCATAACGATAAATCGAATTTTAAAGAAAAAGAAAATATAGATACGTTCAATATATTTATATTTAATTTTTTCTTGATGTCAACACTTCGATATTCGTATATCATTCTGCATGTCAATACAGAATATATAACATTTTCAATGACGGAATATCGAGGGTCGCAATGCGAGAGGAAATTATTTTACGGGACGTATGTATCATCAGACGAAGAGTCTTAGCCGCGATTTCGTGGCGGTACGATACTTATGACTGTCGGACTATTCTCTACGAGAAGAACACTCAGTGGAAGATCGAGTCCGCCCTCTCGAAAATCGTCGTGCAGCTCGGCCACAACCCCCGGGTTCGCTCCCGATGGCTTTACTCTGTCAAATGCACTTGTGATTGTGCACTTGCGCGACAGGTAACACGGCCGGAGAATTGCGCTTTCCGCCCGAATAAACTTCGCGAGCACTCGCGAGCGCTATTAAGCCGTTCTCCTCAGCAGGTTTGAAATTACACCGTTTCGAAGTACACCGTTTCGAAGGATGTAGCTTGGCTGTGTTGTATCGCAAGGGCGGAGACGACGAGTGCACTTTCACTTACGGATGGTGCTTTCGTGCGCCGTATTCGTTTTGCTCGTGAATAACGGACGTTCGTCGCGTCCGATCCGTTTGATCCGCCTCGAATCGAGTGCCTCTTCCTCCCAATCGATGCTTTACAAAGCAGCTCGACGAGACGATGGTATGCGACGATGCGCATGGCTTTGGTATTCCGATTCCATTTCGAGATCCCTTCGACTGGATTCGTCGTCGTCGTCGTCATCGTTATCGTCGACGTCAGAGACTACCGTGCATCGTTTCGTGCATGGTATTCTTATACGAATAATGGCTTTTTAACAAAGAATTTAATTTAGAACTCTTTAACAAGAATTTCATTACGCTTCGACTCAATAATTTCTCGTCAGGCGCCCTTTTCTAAAACATCGAAAATATCGACACATTTCCTTTATGTGCTGTGATGCTTAAGGCCACCTTTTTGCCATGATCTTCGAGAGAATCAGAATTCATTCCGATGAATTAAATGGCGAGGAAACGTCGCATCGATATTTTCAATTGCAAAAAGATCCTTTGAATAAAATACTTTTTGAGCACCCGTTGTATATTTAATGTAGCCACGAGTTTATGATGGGTACTTCAGCAATCGTCACACTTTCTCAAAAACAGCAGGGAGTGTTCCGTCTTCTTACAAGTAACAACTACATACAATCCACGTCTCTAGAAATAACAATCACGTGCACAATCTTACATTTCTATCAGTAGAAAGAACCGGCCACAATGTTCCCTAAGTAGTAACAGACGCAGTTCAGCGGCAATGGTGCGAGCACATTATAGTCAGTTATGTCGTGGCACTGCGTCGCAAATAGTAACAATCGGCAATAATCGACTGTTTTCAGTAATGACATTTGGCTACAGTCAGACCGCGTGTTGACTATTCAACATCGTGATTACAGATGAACACTGTAAAAGATTCATTACAAGTCCTCACCTGCTGAATTTACGTTCGTATAATCACAACAGACGGGAGATCCCCTTAATTGGCATTGTCCTATGATCGATTAAAGAAACCGTTTAAAATCTGGACTCCGCGGTGGCTTTCTCCGCGTCTACGAAAGTCACCCGCTTCATCCGTGCGTTGCCCTCTGGGGGCAACCCCTAATGCTATACGGATATCTCTTGTATCTGCACGCGTTTCTTAATGGTATTGGTGTTGCCGGCAGTGGTGAGCGAGCTGGTAGTTCTGGCAGGCGGTTTCGGAGGGATCGAATCCTTGTGGGCATTGCCGCTGGTCCCGTGACCGGATCTTGGTTCTTTCCTGTTCGACTGCTCGCAGTCCTGGCCATCCTGGGACTGCGCGAGCTGCTGCTGCTGCTGCTGCTGTTCCTGGATGGAGGGACTTCTCGCGAGAGTGGTGTACGACGGTGGTGGTTCCTGAGCGGGTCGTGGATTCTCAGAAGGCTTCATGGATGTCCTAGTGGTCATCGGTAGGGACTCCTGTCCGTTTGGCCTGCATTCCATGGCGGCACGCTTCTTGTCGCGATCCCGCTGATAATAAATGCCGGCGAAGATCAGCATGTTCAAGACTAAGAGGATGCAACCGACGCCCACGGTGATCGCCAGAGCGGTGGTCGTGCTGTAATAAGGACGAGACGCCAATTTCTGCAGGAGCTCGGCATCGTCCTCGGAGTCGTCCAGAATCGGAGTAATGTCCTCGATGAGGCCGTCCTCTCCTCCCGTAGACGTGCTGCAGGCGGTGGTCGAGGAAGAACTCGTCCTAGTTGTGCCTGTCAGCGGCAGTGGCGTGTACCATTCGTCTCGAACCGGTCCTGAGTGATAATGAAGCGCGAAATAATTAAGTAGTATACTTTAAATGAAGAGAAAAAAATAAGAATTAGGAGAAAAAGAAGAACCTTTTTCTTTGTGCATGAAAGACATAATTTTACCTGCATAATAATGATCGCCTCGTTCTCGAAAGTGATGATGCCGCATGGAAACGTCATCGTCACCAGGACGATGAAGCTGCGGTATCAAATTGAGCCACACAGCCATTTTGTGACCGCGATAATGGCTCTTCATCTTCGGCTTTAACGCTGAAATAAAATTTTAATCATTAAAAATATCTGCTCTTCCTCGATAATAATCCATATCTATTCAAAGATAATAATCAAATCATATTAATTAATTGTAGATGTATAATTGAACGTTGCATTATGTCGTGAATAATTATTAAATCTGAATTAATTATGATTATCGAATGTATTAAAGTATCTGCATAATTATCGTCAGGAAATAATTTTGCTTTCCGTTTAAGAAAAATTTCCTTGCACGCAAATTTTTTAAGATGGAGAAATTTTAAAGATGAGAGGCATTAAGATCGGACTTGCGGACTTCACTATAGCGATATACAAATCCAATTTCAGAGAAGATTTTGAAGAGAATTAAAAAAGATCACGATATTCTATATGAGAAACAGAGAAGGCGCTTTGTAGAAAATTTAATTTATCGAAAAATAACGGGGGGGGGAAAACTCCTTCTCTCTGTTCCAAGCACGAACGTACCTATCGTGAGATACTGCTGAGATCCTGTCTCATATTGTTCCCATGTGAGACCGCGGAATCGCGTCTTCTCCTTCGGCGTACCGTAGTCAACCGACTCGATCTTGTGCGGTTCGTTCGGGTTACCGGTCTTGGCGAAATTGGTGAAGAAGGTGAGTACGGCCTCCGCAACGCCCTGGTCTTGTCGGGAATAATTCCGCGGGAAGAAAGCCCCGCCTGCCACCAGCGGCAGCCCGAAAATATACGGTATGTCTTCTCCACGAACGCTCCCCAGGCGCTGCAATGAGATTTTCCCGCTCAGAGAATCGTATGGTGCGGCATATCCGAGCGCCGTAAATCGATAATTATACCGGCCGGCTCTTCGTGCGCATTCATAGGTGTGAGCTATTATAATATTTATGATATATCGGTAATTCGCGTGTGATTCGTAATTCATGGCAATTGTTAAATTATCACTTATCGGCTATTTGCCGATTATTTTATTTAATTAACCGAACGAGAGATATTAGTTAATTATTGATTAATAATTGCTAGAATTTTAGTTAATTAATAGAACCGCGACGAGATGCGATTACCCAGGAATTATGTCGGCTGTTTTGACCTCCCCTCCCTCTCCCCCCCCCTCCAACGTGTGTACCGCCCGTAATTTCCGACAGCGCGCTGTTCTCCATCATGTCTGCGTGAAATGGTACCATGTATTATACCCAATTTCCATTAGCACGCGTGAAACGCGCCGAGGAAAGAAAGCACGAGGGATGGAGGAGGACCGATGATGACGCGGGCGGAAATCGCCGCGATTAACAATTCAAATAAATTCATCGCATTTGCATTCAGTGGTTCTTGATATCTTTTCTTATCTCTTTTCTTATCTCTTTCTCTTCGGCGCGACATTTTTCCGCCTTTGTCTCGTCTAATTCGCGTTTTTTTTTCCCCCTCTCTTCATCGCCCCTGATTAATCAGCGCGATGCCCGACGTTTCGATTGTTCGATGATACTTAAAACGACACGGAGTTACTCGCAATTTTACTTTACGCAAACTTATTAAAGAGCGAATCTTTTGTCTGGCGCTTAATTAAATCTCGTTTCACGCACACGTAGATGGGAAGCGGGCGGAGGATAGTAACGTTGATGCTTCGAATCGCTGTTAACTACACTATCACTTGCACCGCCCTCGCCACTTCGCCGGGCGGGATTAAATAACTTTCGGGGTCCAACGTGACGCGCACCGCTAATGTCGACTTCCGGTATTTCTAAACGCGGTGTTTCTAAACGCCGGGGAGGACAGCATCGCCACGATACAACAGTATCGCCATCCTCGCTGCCGGGGGATAACTCGTTTTCTCATATATCTATGAACATCCATGCCGGACGAAATTTCTTAGAGCTTTCGCCACGATCCCAACCCTTCCTCCAAATTGAAAACGTCAATCTGTTTCCCTCGTCGCGAGTTTAACGTACCGCTTGGCAGCGACCCTACAAATTGGCCGATATAACAATTTCTTTCTTGTCCTCCCGATATTATTATGTCAAGCGTGACAAATCCCCGTCATTCCCGAGACAAAATGCGAACACGGCGCGCGCGGGTCGCCCGGGGCGTTTTATTAAATCAGTGTCTTCATCGTGAAGTCATGGCCAGCGGTTACCAGCCGGGGGTATGGATCGAGCAGAGTGAGACGGATGAGCTACGAGGACGTGGGATCGAGAGAGTGTCAGGAAGGGGTTGAACGGGTTGCTCCCTTAACTGAAAGTGCCGGCGGACTACTAGGTGTCGAGGGCGAACGTTAGTCTCTCTTCGGGACGTCAAGTTAATGGAGTTAACTCAGACTTAAGCAGCGTACCTCTTCTGCTCAACCCGTTCCACCGATCCGTTGTGTTAGTGACGCGCGATGGATGTGTCGGTAATAAACGACGATATCGTTTCAGAATGGAGAAAAATCGACGCCTCGAGATACTGCGGATATTCCCGTCGATCGACAACGCTAAATTACGCGATTCCTTGATGCTCTCGCCGCGTACCGCCACGTGCAAATTTTTCTTCGGAAATCTCTTACGCTCCAGAAATTTCTTATCGTCAGCTATTACTTAAAAAGCAAGCTAAAAATAAGCTACTCGGTATTTATAAAAGCAAATTAATTACGATACGCCGATAATAGAGCTTCTTCGCGCCCCAAGAAATCTCGTACACTTCCTCGGAATGGTAACGACCCGTCGTCTTACCTGCATATAGCCGCTGTCCTTGGATTGATGATTGAAGTGATAAAAGTAGGTCTTGGCGCCTCGCCTGGCATGATAGAAGGCGATTCTCATGAGAGGCGCGACCGTGTGACCATCGCTCAACGCCTCCATCGTCGAGTCCCGTATTATGATGGGGTGAAGCACCGGCTTATCCCAATCCGTGTACTCGTTCCTCACCGCCGAGAAGATCTCGTTCAGATGGTAGACGTAGGCGTTGCGGATGAAGGTGCGCAGGACGCGATTCCGGTGGTCCTCCTCGAAGCCGAACTGTATGTCGTTGTTGTTGAAATCGAGATTCGACTCGGTCGTGGAGACGCCCAGGATCAGCGGCACCTTGATGAACGCGTCGCTCGCACGCTCCATGTCCAGGCCCGGGTCGGGGTTGTTTTGGTCCACCGGCAGGCCGGGCCCGATGCGGGGCACGAATCTGCCCCGGGAAAGAGAGGCGAGAAAGTCAGTTTCGCTTCGCTCGTGCGAACGACCGCGATATCGAATTGATATAATAAGGGTGTTCAATCAATAAAGCGAGAGGAGCTATTAACCCGCCGCGATCCGACGGTAATCCGATAATAATTCAACATGCGCGCGCTGTGATTATCCTTGCAATTAGTAGGTATCATAGATTCATTTCGACCTCGCGGTAAACATACCCTCGAAATTGCGTTGCTACTGCCTAACGTTATTTCCACGAGTGTGAAAGGGAATTTAATTTAAAGTCTTACGATACGATACTGATCATTTTATTCTCATATCCGATAACCGTTTCTCCTCGCGTTAGCGTAAAAACGCCCGACGGTGTAATGCCACTTTAAACGTGGGATACTTTAAATATCAGCAACTTCGACAATTCGTCATAATTCACTGCAGCCGAGGACTCATGAAATCGTTATAAATTTGTAGCGCTGTAATTGCAGCTGCGTTGGGTAGACGTCATTTTTTTTTAACGTATCAATCATATCCGTTGAATTTTTTACAATCTGGCATTTTCCACTTTTCATCAAAATGCATAGCTCCAATATTCAGGCGATGAATATGAATCTCGCGATATATATATATATATATATATATATATATATATGTGTACATGTACATACGTATGTATATATATAAGCACAAACGGCGATTCCGTGGTAATATTTATTATATTGACATGCGATCATAAATAAAAAGACGGGAAAGGGATATCGGTGCATTCCATCTGTGCCAATTTTATGATACATATTTTATTATTTTAATTTTCCCTCGGTTTCTGAATATTCAACCGTTCGCAAATACCGATACGTGCCGTCACGTGCTTACCTGATTTCCGGCAGTTGCACGTCCATGAGAGTTTTGAGCGGTACTCCACGGAGGCAGTCGGCTATGTCCTCGTCACCCTCGGTCGAGCAGCCCATTTGTTCGCCAATCTTCGCCCTGAGATCGTTCGGATCGTGCACCGAGGCCCAGGGACTTAGTGCCGAGCCGCTGGATAACACCACGCGATGAAATAATCCTGCGGAAGAGCAGACGGTTGGCTCGTACACAGGAGCGATTCGTAGGGGGGCTCGTCGAGGGCGGGATGCCGTTGCTTGACGTTAAGCTCGTCGTAAACTCGTATATATCGAATGCAGGGTGAATACGGCAGGATATCATCAGCTTCCGGCTGATCGAGCGGAAGCGATGAGCCCGACGGCAGTTACTCCCAAACGGTTATTATCCTCGCATGGATAATTAGAAGCGGACGTAAATACGATCGCGCCTCATCCGCCGGGATTATTTTCCGCGCCCGGGCGTCGAAACCCCGACGAATTACCGAATAAGCGCGATAAACGAACGATTAAAAACTGTCGCGCGATTGAATTAGCCATTTAGAGGCGGAAAATATGTTGGGTAATTTTGGATAACGATCAGGCGTGCGGCGAAGAAATTTTCTTTAGGCAGCCCAATTAACGTTGTGTCACTTCGACGACCGACGGCGACGTTAAAACACATGGAAAATCCAAATGCCTCCATGGAAAATTCTATGTTAATTGAAAAGGATATTGCGGAAGCTAATTAATTTTGCTTTTAATGAGCTGAATTTTATGACGTAACGCAGCGAAACGTTTTCAAGCGGCACATATATAATATCGCGTCTGATACTATCTCTAGTGCGTATTCCGGTCGCGAACCGGAAAATCATATTCGCCGGCAAACATTTATGCTGACGCTAAAGTCGTTTATCGAAACGTCACAGGTTTCTTTATGAAAATCGCTGTTTCGAATGCAAACATCGCGCGCGAGTACAACGTGCTCGTCCTGCAGCGTTGAGAAATATTAGGCAATATGTGTCTAACATAAACATTCACGTATCGTTGATGAGCGGTACAAATATTTTATGACTTTACACACCCGACACTCGTGCATGCACGTTTAATTTCTCGCAAGTGATATTCGTCCGATATAAATCGCGCGGTCCGAGCAACAGCGCTATTTTCCGGCCTTTATTATCGACGCGATTTTCCGTTATGACAGATAAAAAGTTTTTCGATCCGAATAACAGTAGGAATTATCAAGTGCGTCCGACATTTCGCCAAGTTCCTAAATCGGAAATTGCATCATCAGACCGCAGCTCTGATTTGAATGTGAAACTCTTTATTCTTCTCTCTCTCTCTC